TGCTCTCTTAACTTCAGCGACCCAGAAATCCCAACAGATTATCTTAATTCTTGGCCATTTGATGTCACTGGGGACCATCCTGGCTAACACTTTTTTGAGTAGTAGGGAGGTATACAACAACCTGGTTTGACCCTTACAGAGCATACATTCACCCAGCCATAGTTCTTCCTTCCACAAGCTCTGTACAGAATGTAAGAATGATTTCCCCTCTCACATCATACTTTCCAGCTCACTAACCCTTCCTGATCTCTGTGACCTTAATGCTTGAATATGCTGACTCACATGGCTTTCTTTCTACCTTACCTAGCAACCTGCTCTTATTCTATAGTTTACAAGTTCAATTATGGACCTTGTCAATCTAATCTGAGCTATGTATTTATTAAGAATGGATTATATGCATATCTGACATAGAAAGGTGTTTTGATGTCAAGGAGGTTTGATCACAAACCTGCATTATAGACCCACAATGCATCTCTCCAGATTTGAATTGGCATGATTTACCTATTCTGAAAGGATTTAAACAGGGAACATACAGAGAAAAACAAAAAGCCTCTAGGCACTTTACAAGATTCAGACTGTTTATTAATTCTACAACTAATTATTAACACCTTTCATGGGCCAGGCTGAGCCTACATTATGATGGGATGAGAAAGTGAATAGGACCAGATAGACAGTCACAGCTGTCATGCAGTATTCAGCTACTTAGATCATTCTGTTTGCATTCAATATGGGTATTAGAGTTATTGTTTTGTTTGCTTTTTAGTCTTGTAAATTTATTTATTTTTAACTAGAAAACAGTTTCTTGCCATTAAGATTATCTCTAATCTCAGCTGGTCAAAGAAACTTAGAGGACAGTTTGATAAACTTGGAGTAGCATGGTTCATTCAGATTCATTTTGACATGGTTCTGCTCATGGATGCCAGGTAAAGTTAGTGGAAAATGAGATAAGGCCAAGTGTAGGAGAGTGCTGGTATTAGCACCAGTTTAGGTTCCAGCCCTCCCTGCCAAAGCTATAAATACAAATGACCAATTTAACAGCATGCAAAGACCACCTACAAGATCTATACCTGGGATCTAATCAGTTGCTCAGCGCCTTCTTTCAATTACAGGATCCCTGCCATGTTTATGGGGACTTTTAATGTGAGCATCACATTTTTGAAGGCCATATCATTATGACCATGTTTGATCTGAGGGTGAGAAAACATGAGCTCGAGTAATGTCTGCACAAGGCTACTCTGAACTGAGCCATAAACTGAAATCAACACGAGCTGACAGTGGAAAAGAAAAACCATGTAAGGAAAAAAGGCTTATATGCCAAAGGGATTGCAACTCTGGAAGTGATGTTATTAAAATTACTTTCTATTTTGCACAGGAAATGAAGTTAGTCAAGAACAGTCACCACAATTTTGTCAAATAATGCTATTTAAGGGCATTTTGGAAGGGAAGGGTGATAAAAGACATAAAGACAAACACATCATCTTCACTTGAATGTGGCAACAGGATATGATTTGCAAAAGAAAAATTAAATTATGAATGTTAGAAGAACTGAATTGCAACTTTTATAAATATTAGCCTAACAATGAATCAACTGAGTCACAACACATGTTTGTGACTTCTCAGGCATAAAGAACGTGATTGCTTAAGACTTTATGAGTGATAAGACCCCTAATTAGAAAACTGGCTTTCTTGCCAAATACTCAAATATTATGAAAGTATAGAAGCATCTTTTCTCTATTATGGTTATTACCCTGTGTCAGACACTCTGAAACTTCAGGGACCTTCTCAGTCTACATCTTTTCTTTGGGCTTTCACATTCATTCCTATGACTTAAACTGCCACCCTCTGAACTCTAATCCAGTACTCTCCTGTGGGCCCGGCATCTCTACCTGTGGGCCTCAGTCATATGTCAAACCAGCACGTCCAGAGTTTACCTTATTGTTTTCCATCCCAAATCTGGTTCTCTTCATCAGTATTAAGCCAGTTATCAAGCAAGAAAAAGCAGAATTATCCTTTTCTCTTGTTTTTGTGCTTCCAGTGGGTTATCTAGTGCTATAACTCTTAAAACCTTGATAAATGCATCCCTTCCCTTGCTAATTTTACTGTGACCACTTCTGCTCAAGTTCTTACCGTCATTTGCCTAGACTATTGCAGAACAGCTTGAGAGACTGCCTTCCAGTCTTTTCCTATCCAAACCTTCTTTACATTGCTTAGTTATAATGTATTTCTCAACAACAAAAAGCGAAATGATCCTGCATACAGAAACAAAGCCAGCGTGACCATGTCATTCACATACATACTACTTTTCCAAGGCTCTCTCTTGCCTATAAGACAAAGTTCACATTCTTTAGCAAGTCTTCATGTGACCTTCCTCTCCCTTCTGGTCTGGTGTTCTTCCCATTTGCCCTGTGATCCAGCCACACCCAGTCTCTTGCCGCTCCCCAAACACATCATGTCTTTCATTTTGAGCTTTGCAGTGTTTTCCTCTGCCTGGAATGCCCTTTCATAACTTGTCTACAGAGAATTCCTAATCCTCAGTTTCCTCATCTGTATAACAGGGTGATAAACTGCTTACTTCGGAGGGTTGTCATGAAGCCTAAATAAGAGAGATGATCTCCCCCCCTGGTGTCCGGCATGCAACCACATGTGGCAGTTGTTAGCTGTCATTGCTGCCACTGCCATCATTACCATTCTCTTTGCTTTTTCCTGAATTTGAACAAAAACATCCCCTTTGGTGCTTACCTGGAAGTGTCAGGCGTGCCTTCATTCTGGTTCTTTATGCTTAAAAGTAGTGCCATATTACATCAACTTTAAAACTGATCAAATTTTCAAATTTTAGCATCTCTGATTAGGAGTACATCCTAAAATCTGTGACACATCATGGAGTAGATGCCAACAATTTTTCTTTGTTTGTACTACTTACAATAAAGGTGTTTCTTCCAATGAATGGAACATTAGACAGGATACTATATTGTATGACAGTTGCCATAAAAATTTGATTATCCAGGGTAGATAAAGCATATTTATGGAAGAAAGAAAATCCTATAATTTCTGTGAAACATCCACAGGAAAAACAGACCATTGTTTAGAATTCCACAGCAATAAAGAGTTATTCCACTTATATATACTGTAACTTGGCAACCCCCCACCCCCTGAACCACAGAGTGGCCTGATGAAGTAGCATGCTGCCACCTCCTTCAGTTAAGCATCCCACTCCTCCCTGAGAGCCAAACAATAGCCAGGCCCAGAGCAAAAGTGGGGAGGGGCTAGCTGGTGAAACTGCATCCGGACAACCCAGGATGCAAGCTGAGAAAGTAGAGCCACAATGTAAAGAGGAGCGTGAAGGAGATGAGGAAGGCCAAGGGATTGTGTCTCTAGACAAACTCTATACAACAGAAATAAAATGCAAGCCAGAAATGTTATTCAAAATTTTCCAGTAGCCATGCTTAAAAACAAAAAGCAGGTAAATTAACAACATTTTTTTAACCCAATATATTCAAACTATTACTTTATCACTATCAATATAAAAATCAGAAATGAAATATTTTGTGTGTTCTTTTGCACTAAGTCTTCAAAATTCAATCTGTGTTTTACCCTTATAGCATCTCTCAAACCGGATCTCATGTGCTCAACAGTGGCATGCGGCTAGTATGTGCCATATATATTGGACAGTATGATTCTAGACTGATTTTTGACCAACTCAGTGAAGTAATAACAGTAACAGATTATTTCAACAGTGGCTCTTTACACCACACAATATTGGGAATCATTAAGATTCCTATAATATTTTATTTCTGTATTTTTAAATTTCTTAGGGAATGGTGATTTTCCTTTAAATTCTTGTGCTGTGTTTTGGCTGATTTTGTTTTAACCATGGACTTGAGGCTATTCCTAATGTCTTTCCCATCTTCCCTTTACTAGGCTGGTTGAAAGAGAGCTGACTCCTGTATACTATGACAGATCTCTCCCAATAAACAGCCCTTAAGAGAAGGACAAGGAATGCCTACCATATAGCATTTCTGAATAAACATCTTTGAATACACATTTCAAAGGTGAACTAAGCTTGATAATAGTGGTTCTCAACCTGGGCTGCACACAGGGTGTGATTCACCTGAGGGGTTAAAAAAAAAGTGCTGATGCCTGGTTCCAGCCCCATAGATGGTAGGTCTGGAGTTTGGCTGTCAAAATTTAAAAAATCTCCCCCAGGTGATTCTAGAATGCAGCCAGGGTTGAGAAACCACAGCCTCTGGGGCTTTCTTTGAACATTTTACTACAGCCACACCTTTGCTCCCCTGATAAGAGGTCCAGTTTGCCTCACTTAGTTTCCTCTCTCAGAACAGACCAGAAGTTTCTTGAGAAACCTAGCAGAGAAGAAGTTAACATATAATCCCTAATGCTGACTTGCAAATTCCTTTTCCAAGGCACTGAAGAAGATTTTCGGGGTTCTAAATCTGTTCGTGTATATCTTTTTCCAACAAAGAAAGAGTAAAATTCACAATATAAGTTTTAAGATGCTATCTGGTTCAAAGAGAAAGGATTATAATAAAGCCATTACAGCATCCAGGGAGATAATACCCAGATATACACACCACAGAATTTTCCAGACATAGAATAGTAGCAATTAAAAATAAAAATGGAATCTAAGTGAACATGAGCCTCATTTCAAATTAATTCTACATGTCAAGAGCAGAAATTATTAACTGGGGGTCAGCGAAGAAAAATATTTCATGCTTTTCTTCAGGCCATTTAGTCTTTCCTCAAAGTTTATGAAAACTAGAGTAATGTAAAAGGATTTAAAATATGAAAATGGATTTGAAAGGTGATAGGAAAGTGCAGGACATGCCTTTACATTGTGCATGTGACCACCATGGGGACATGGACTCCCGGGGTCACTGGAGCTGCTGGTGACCAGCAGGGATGCTGGGCAGTGGGATCAGAGAGAGCTCCACAGCTCAGAGGATGTTTCAGAGTATTGTGTATGTGCAGTGGACACAGCTCCCTACCTTTCTGGAAGAACTCTTCCAGTTTGTCCTTGAAAGGCTGGAGATGCTCCTTTGGGGATTCCTTGCACACCATCACCATCTGTTTCTCACTTGCTGTGAAGAGAAGTTTGGAATTAGACTTCCTCAAGAACACGTATCTGCTGAGCTTGTGCTCCGTGCTATGCTCTTAGGTATCAGTTGTGCAAAATTATGATCAATCACTGTTCATCCAAATTCCAGGGGGAAAAGCAAAAACAGAGACAACACAAACAAAAAAATATCATTAGCTCACTCCACACCTTTCTTAGGAACAAGGAAGCACATCACCTCGAAGTTTCCTTTTAGAGATGCAGAAAAGCCTCTGACTTGGGACAGGTGAAGTACTCTGCTTTTTGTATCTAAAAAATAGAGGACAAAAACTCTCGAAGGACTAGTCCCAGGGAATTAAGAGCTCCAACCCTCTTCAGATTTACATTCCAAAGGTAAAGCTTGAAATAGATTTTGCAGAAATCCCCAGCCACCCAAGGGGCTTGGAACCATCAAACTGATGATTCCTCAGGGTGACACCCACATCTCATCATGAGAACTCAGCCAAGATTAGGTTTTTCATGCTTCCCATTCATCTTCCCATGAATATTGCACTAACATGGGTGAAATCATTTTATATGTGATTTACTTCAGGCAGAATATCTGGAATTTGTAATAGCTTGCTCTTTTGATGATCAAGCCCTCTTAAATTAGATATTCTGATATGGTGACATGGAAACCACAATAATCCACAGTTCACCAGCACAGTGGCAACTGTGTCATTTACTGCGAAGGGAAACAGTGGAATGTGTCTTTTCATTTTGTTCTCTTCTTTTGTTTTAAGGGAGAAGAGATCAAGTGTTAATTTGGGGTCTTAAGGTTTCTCTGGTCTGTATGAATTATAAGGCAAGACCATCCTCTGAAAACAAAGGAGGGGAGAGGCAAAAAGAAAAATCTATCCATGGGTGCTCATTGCTAATTAAATTATATTCAAACTTCCAGGCTTGGGATTTAAGGCCCTTTCCATTATGGCACCATTCTACCTTTCAGCATCATTTTCCCCATGTGTTTGACCAACCAACAAAAACTACAATGTTTCCGAATTATATCAACCAACATCTCCATGTTGCGATTTGCATGATTCTCTGTATTACAAAATAAATTCTGATTTAAGTGCATACCTACTTTCTGCTGATTTGACAAAGTCTCGGTCATCTTAAAAAGTTTCTCTGAGATGCTGCCACTGCCACAAAGCACTTTCCAATCTAAAGTTTTTGCATCCTTCACACCACTCTAGGGTCTTCAGTGGACTGCTTATGTTTTGCCTTTGATTTTAATTACTTGTGTGCTCATATTAAGCTCTGAGGAGCCATCATACAGGCTTCATTTACTTGTCCCCAAACTTCTCCAGAAAGCTTCATGCATTACCTGGCCAAAGCATGTGATTTCCACACCTTAACTGGATTCTTATGGGGAGGAAGGTTGAAGAAAATGAGCACTGTTGATCCAGACTCAGAGCACAGCGAGACCTCTGTCCTCCCTTTCCAGGACAGGGACACCAAGGGTCCCAGTGTCTTCACACTGCAAACACTGTGACTGTCCCAAGCTGTTGTGAAAGGGTTCAGTGTCTTTTAAAGATCCCCTCCATCTGGCCTCACCATCACCACTTCATGCATAAGACACAAACAAGGTAGCAAAGATTGTCTTCTGATTGGGTAGTGCTGAGAGACTCCTTGGAAGACGTCTGTTCTCCAGGATCAGCATTTTTCAAACTTTGATGCTAACGTCAGTTTTTCTGATGATATCCAGTGATGATTCTGGTAACCCTGGTAGCCATGTCTAAAGCAAAGCTAGAACTGCTCACAATATAAATTGGAGGAGTCCTTTAAATTCCTTAGTTAGCCCTCTACTACATTCACTTCCAAAAATACTGCTTACAGAGAACCATTTTTATGGACACAAATATCTGGAGAGGCACACTTGCAGTCTGGTAATGGGACACAACTGAAGCCATGACAATAATTCCTTCAAGGTTACTTGCCCCCAGACAGAGCCAAGCCAAAGGCAGAGCTTATTCACCTAATCACAAAAGGAAAAACTTCCACTGTTGCCTGAATTGAAAGGGTTGGTCACTGTTGCTCTCCCTTTGTCCTTGGCTTGATGGCAAAGCCCATGAGGTCCACCAAACCGTTTAGATTGTAGGAAGCCATATAGTGGTGTAATCTCAAGACCTACCTGGGCTCAAGTGGGCTGTGGCTTATTTTTCTCATCTGCAAAATGGGACGCTCCCCTTGTTGGCCATGGTACACGAATGAAGTGAGATAAAGCACATAAGGTGGTGTGCAGAGTGCCTAGCACTGACAAGTGGCCTAATAAATATTATTTGCTATTTTTATAACTTAGTAAGATTGATCAGGAAACATGTTACAGTCAGAATGACATGTCAGGTCATGGTTGGGGGTTACTGGTTACAAATGCTGTGCACCGTATTTACAGAAATCCATTCCAGTGCAAACCTCCTATTTAGAACATAGAGATAATGATTTTCCTGGCCTCGCTCAAGTTCTACCCCCCCGTGGTGAGAATTCACTGAAGAAACTCCTGGGGAAAAAATGAAGCAAATGTGAAACAAGTGCCCTAGGCCTCTGAACCTCATGGCTTTGAAATCAGAAACTGAAACCAGTGCCAACAAGAACTGCTCCCCTGCTGCCCTCGGGGTCCTCTCTGCCCCCGCCAGCGGGCCCAGCCTCCCTCGTAGCCTGTCAGAATTAAACTTCTCCACACCATCAAGCAAAGAGCTGCCCTCCAACCCGGACCGGCTCAGCACAGTCATGCACGCCAGTGGCCAGGTAGCTCACCTGCTCCAGTCTATCAAATTGGCTTCTCCGGGTGCTTTCCAGCAGACCAGCGGAGGACCTGAAGGCTAATTCATGGTAACACTGGAAGCCAGCAGCGCGTAAAGGAGAGAGGTCACTGACAAGTCCACAAATGCAGATTATCCCCCAGCCAGGAGGCACGTACACAGTACTGCCAGACCACCAAGGCTGCCTCAGGTGTGGGCTGTGCCTGGAGTCCCGATGGGAAAAGCCAAAGGCACCCCAGGTTCTCTTCCTTTCTTCTCCCAATGGCCCACTGTGAAGTTTTTGATAGAATTAAAATTGTATTAATTGCTGAAGTTAGCTAAGTGATTGTTGTGAGAGAAAATGAAACAATAGACACAAAATTGAAAGTATTCTCATGTAAAGTTAAGTACTTGTGAAGAATTTAGTGAAAGGAAAAATATAACCTCAAATGTTTTAAGAGTTCAGATATTAGACTGGCTGTCTATGACTGTCTAGGTCATAGGCCACTTCATTTTTGATCCCTACAAACAGAGAATAAAGTCTGCTGAGCCACTTAAAACAGAATGGGTAGAAGAATGTAGAGGCAAGGCCTAGATATACTTAATCAAACTTTAATATATGTTTAATCACCTGAACAGATCAAATGCACATGGGCATTTTTTAGGAAAATATGGAGCATGTCTCTCTCTTTGTGTTTGAGGACCTATGGATTGAGTGAAATCAGAATACATTTTTAGAGGAAAGGAAAGATTTATGCAGGTTCTGCTTTTCCAGTCTAGAATATTCTCTCTTCTCTGCTTACCTAATTCCCACCCTACTCCCTCCATTGCTCTGTGCCAGTTATACCTCTCCTTCCTTTTTACAAGATCCCTGTCCTTTCCATAATCTCCATGCTCAAAGGACCACTACAGAGGATTGCTACAGCAATATACAGAACTATTTGGTTAAAGCAAATTTTTGTATTATATCCATGGGGTTTACCTGAGAAATACAAATCAGAGTCAGATTATAAAGGGCATAAAATGCTGGGTTAATGAGTTTATCCTAAAGGAAATCATTCAATAAATACATCAATTTGCCAAATAACTATTGTGTGCCAGAAATAGTACTTGGGGATATATCAGTGAAAAAAAAAAACCAGACTAAAATATCTAAGCTCTCATACATTGTTGTGAATGGATCACCAACACAAATTTCTTAGTGGGTATGGCACATAGTAATTATTATTTCAGGTAATTTGAACTGCATGCAAATATGTGAATTATTTCCTTTCACATTAACCTACTCCAGTGTTAACAAACGTGCAATGTATGTTTCATATTAATGTACGTCAGTGTCCCTTTTTAGTAATAGTGCTTTTCACATCAGACACAAAGAGAGAGAGAGAGAGAACTCTTAGTTTTCTATCCTAGAACTTTTATCAAAACAAACTTAAAGACAAATTCAGGAATCAAAATTGCGATATTAGCACAACAAACCTACACAATTCTTTTTCATGGCATTGGCTTTGAACTGAAGGGCTAGGGAATATTATATCCAATGCATTAAAATAGTAAAATTAAAATAGCTTTTGCCTAGTTGCAATTCAAGGATTTCTATGGAAGAGGGAAATAACATATAAAACTAGTAAAATATTAAGAATTTTAAAATTTTGATTAAAGGATGGCACAAAGAATGTACTACTTTATGGCTATTTTCTGCACATACATTTTTTAAAGGCTACACTAAGGAAGACTTCAAGTTGCTTTAAGTCAAAATAAATGACACAAGTTTGAAATAATAATTGCTTATTTCATGTTCTTGAGTTCTGGTGTTGAATACAGGGTGCATTTTAAGGCTTAGTATGCTTGAGCAGTGTTAGAGAAATGTTGGTGTGGGTTGTAGGGGGCAAACAAAAAATGTGTTCTAGAAGAGACCTATATAGGTTAGATTTCAGAGGGACTGCTAAGTCGTGCTAAATAACACCCATGAAGTCCAACTTCCTGGGTTCAAATCAGACAACTGTGCATTAATGACCCTTGTATGGGCAACCTATAAATAAAGGTGCTTTATTTATCCTTAGTTTGGGAATTCAACTGATGTAATTATGATGTCCAAATCAATCCTCCTAGTAACTGTATTCACCCAAAGGCAAAAATCTATATCCAAAGAAAAGAATCTCTATCCAAAATCTATATGCACTCCACCTCCAAAAAAAAAAAGAACTTGAACAGGCAATTAGGAGTAAAAACATAGGAGTGAAAA